TTCCCATTGAGATTACAGTATATCTGTATGAATCATTAGGATTAATATCTTTTCATGATTAATATCTTTTCATGAAATATTTAAATATCACTCACAAAGCAATATAAGTGACTTACCCCGATTCTAACCCACTATTCCATAAATAATCACAAATTGCAGCTTCGACCGGTTCAATTCCGATTGGAATATCCGCTTTTACAACCTACAGTTTTGCATACAAATTTGTGTCACAACAACATGATAAAAATCAAATTAAGTTATCTTTTATTCAGCTTACCTTCTGCTTCTTCTTCTGGGGTGCAGGATATTCCGAATCCAAATCTGCATCTATAACACTCTCCGGTGTATAGATGTTAGTGACATCCTTTCTCATCATTTCCTCCATCTTTTCTTCTTTCTCCATATTTTCTTCTTCAAATTTTCTCAGTCCATCGTATTTTTTCTCTACATAGCTCTTCATCTCTTTTATTTCACCCTTCAATTTCCCCCATTCATCCAAGTTTTTATGAACCACCTCCTTCACCCCCGAAAGTTCACTCCTTATTTCCACAACCTCCTTGACAACTCCATCAATTTTTCCACCCGTCAACAGATTAACTTCACCACTCAACACCTCAACTTTTTTCACCAATACATCTATCTTTCCTTCCACTTTCATCTTATGCCTCTCATGTGTCTCTTCGACTCTTGATTGTCTTTAATGAATATCAAAAATGATTTTTTTAATATCAGCCAATTCAGACATCAAAATATTTAATTTACTCTGTTTTCCCTTACTGTAATCCCTCTTACTGTCATCCATCCCTCCAACCATCTCTTCCTCTACCTCCTCTGCCTTCTTTGTCTCCTCTACATCCTTGAAAATAACCTTCAAAATTAAATTTGTATTAAGACATTGATTATATTCTTAATATTATTTAATTTCATTTATTACCATTTCTAGCTTCCTCGGTCTATCCACCTTCAACTTCATCATCACTCTAACCACCTCTTCCTTCCCCCATGCACGGATGCGTGCCACTCCGTGTCTTTCATAAGCCGGAACATTATCACAGCCTGACCAATAATCGAACAGTGCAACCTGAATTTATAATAAAATTAATCATTTTATATAATAACTATACCATCATTTTATATAAAAAAAACAAAAGCATTCTTCAACTCAGTTACCTCTAAGATTGCTATGCACTCTTTGAGGTATCTCTGGCTGCCCTTTTGAAAGGTGATTATTGATTCAATCAATCTCGAATGAACATATTCGGCCCAATTGAATTCACCCTTCAAGCCTTCATCGCAAATGAGCTTTATATTGTCCTTGTTCGTTGACGTATTACCCGTTGGACAAAGAAATATCCTGACAAGGTACAATAGAACTCGGGCCTTCAGCTCATCCCTTCGGTAAGATCCGCTTTTGATATCCTCTTCAACTTCAGCATATGTCACCTTATGATTCAAACCATATTTTGAGGCAAGTGCTTTCCAGTTCTTACTCCTACAGACTTTTACAACACTTTTGCCTTTGTTTTGTACCCCCCAGACGGCTGCAGCAGTCGATACCCCCAGAGGGAATGAATAATCGCCATATTTAGCAATACATTGTTTGATATCAAATTGCTCCATCAAGAATCGACACAATTCCCTCCTAATTGGTCGATCATTTACTCCTATCAATGATCCAAACCCCATTTCATATATACACCCTTTGGTTGCTTTCCACCCATTGACTTCATTTTTCCTTCATATATCAGTTTACGCAAATCAAATCAAATACTTGTATACAAAAATCGATAACCACTCTTGTGGTAAAACAGTTGGTCTTCAAAAGAATTTGAATAGCCACTACAACAAGTGTCGGCACATTTATACAACCTAAAATATCATTTTCTACCTATAATATTATATACATGTATCCATGTTTATTTTCTACCTATAATATTATATAATAATCGGTCCCAAAACCTCCCTATTTCCTTCAAACGAATGGGAACACTCAATACTCCAAGTATCGGCACATTTATACAACCTATAATATCATTTTCTACCTATAATATTAAATAAAAGTATCGATATTTATCATCTACCTAGAAGATCACTTTCTACATGTAATCGGTCTCAAATGCTTCTTTACTTCAAAAACCCCAAACAACAACACATAAAAACCCTAATTACTATAATAATAAAAAACTAGGGTTTCAACAACGTACCTTTCGATTTGAAATGCAGCAACAAACAAACAAACTTCAACGTAGAAACGCCTTCTGAAATGCAGCAACAATTACGCTTCGATTTCAAAAACTCTATCTATTTTAAGAGGAAATTTAGCTATGCCTTTATATTTACACCGGATATGTTATTTATATTTAATCGATACAATTACATAAGTATCGATACTTTTATGTGAAGTGTCAATACTTTCGATAGGATATTTACCTATATCTTTGAAAGTGTCGATACTTTTTTACGCGTACTTATTAAAGTACCGACACTTTCAACACAACCGGTAGTGCTTTACCGGTTTTGTCATTTCGATATCGGTTTTGTCATTTTGATATCGGTTTTGTCATATTTTTACCTATTATATTATTATGGATCAATACATTATCATAAAGTATCGACACTTTTTAGACGCTATAACTTCTTCTCTTTTAAATTACAAAAGTGTCGATACTTATATTAATTTATCGACACTTTCAATATATCTGGTAGCTTTTTACCGGTTTTATCATTTCGAGACCTGTTTTGTCATATTCTTACCTGTTATATTGCTATGGATTGATACATTTGTATAAAGTATCGACACTTTATAGGATCTATAACTTCTTCTCTTTTAAATTCAAAAAGTGTTGATATTTATATTAACGTATCGACACTTTCAATATATCCGATAGCTCTTTACCGGTTTTATGATTTCGTGACCGGTTTTGTCATACTTATACATGTTATATTGTTATGGATCGATACGTTTTTATAAAGTATCGACACTTTATAGGCGCTATTACTTCTTCTCTTTTAAATTCCAAAAGTGTCGATACTTATTTAATTCTAATTGATACTTTCGATATATCCAGTAGCGGTTTACCGGTTTTATCATAATGAAACTGGTTTTATCATATTTTTACATGTTATATTGCTATGGAGCGATACATTTTTCATTTGTATCGACATAAACCAACAAGCTAAGTTTGCCGGTTGTCAAATTTTTTAATATTTTCTTCATGATTTCCACCTACAACATTGTTATTACTCGATATTTCCGGTAACGCTAAACCAAATTTATTAAATATATTATAATGTATCCGATAACACCGTATATTAACCGTATATTAGTTTATCTTTCCTGAGGCAACCCCGATAGCAGGGGCTTAGAGTTTGCCTATAGGTTCTACTTACAGTTGGCTAATGCTCAAGTACTACGGAAAAGGGTTGTGGGGTACGGAAAGGACAATGTCAGTTAAGCAACCAATGAGATAGAACAAAAGATTTTGTGAAGATAATGTTTCTTAAAAGATACAATGTACTTGATGAGACGAGCAGGAGCATGAATCTTCATTCTTCATTGCGTTGCTGTTCAATTAACTTTGATGAACTATAAACTCAGCTGCTGAGCTCAATGAGTCGACATAAAAAATGAAATTTCCAAGCAACCATGCCCCCTGCTTCATTCCTTAATTTCTGAAAATTTTAACATTAACACATCAGCAATGGCTGGCCTGACACATGTGAAGATATATAATACACGTTTACTTATCGGGAATAGGATCAGCGTCAGCAGCTTATGGAATACAGAGCGTATTAGAAATTTCAAGAAACAGACGCCTTCTTAATTAAAGCAGGATCTGTGCGGATTGAGGACAACATTTTGTGCGTACGAAATACTAAACAAACAGTTTTCTTATCTTCCTCCCCGAATGGCCTGCCTTTTATGACCCCTTGACTGGAACTTGGTAATAATCTATACCCTTTCTTGCATAAATCATTAGCACGTTTTGTCAGGGCGATTCACTGCCCATTTGCCTGACAATTGGTGCGCTGGGAAGTTTGAAATTTTGGCTCATCCCCGTGTGTGAAAACGAAAAAATTATATACGTATTTCAACGAATGTTCCACAAGGCAGGCATTTTCCAGCCTCACACGCACAAAAGTAAGAGAAAATGTGGTAGCTAGTTAGCAGCTCTGGTTTTGCCGTACCATAAAGAGAACCTTTGAGCTTAGCAAGAGTGAGGAACTTGGGAAGAAAGTCAAGACATGAAAGCGTAAGCAGCCAAGCAAAAAAAACACCGTGAAACAGTTGAGAGATGTATCCTTTTAATTTATTAGTCATTGAAAGAGTTATTTTCAGTTTGCATGAGGGTCTGGATAAAAAAGACGCGGTTTTAGAGCAGCAAGACAGTGCAGCAACAGCTGGTTTTGTTTTTGGTTTGGTTATTCTACGTTGGGGCCGAATTGCTGAGTTAAGCACTAGGATTTAGACTGCGCGTCTCTTGAGTGAATCACACCCCACCCCATTAAATATTCAGCCCTGCAGATCCTGGAAGTTGCCTACCAATATCTATTTTTTCTTTTTACCATAAACAACAATACTAAAACAGAGATACAATACATTAAAATAAAGGGTTTTCATTTAATCAACCATTAGGTTGAGTATTGGGGTTTGCAAATTGACATTTCTGCAATGTAGCTAATCACACAATGTATATTTATTTCCACATGTTTGGTGCAAATTATATATTTATTATAAAATACCAGCCATATGGAAACTGGGGTTTTACCATGAAGCAGTAATATAATGTCCATTTCACCCATTTTGTTTTTAATAAAGCTAAAAATATCCTGCCTGTCAGCCAATTTCATATGTCATATGTGGACCAACACTGATTGACCAAGGGATCTTCCTAGCTTTAAAACAACTCAACGTCACCTCCTATCTATAAATATCGACATTTTCAATCACTTTTGAAACAACAATAAACCATTTAAAAAGCTACCAAAAACCATTGCCACAAACATTGATTGATAACTGAAGACTTATTGTTCACTGCACTGTTGTTATGTTTGATTATCTTTCTTGAAAGCTACTTGCCAATGGTGAAGGCTGATATGAAGAAGATTCAACCAGAAGCATCAAAGCAAATGAAATCATCAACGTCTTCAGCACCATCATCATGCAAGAAGAAGTATAAAGGTGTGAGAATGAGGAGCTGGGGTTCTTGGGTGTCAGAGATTAGGGCTCCAAATCAGAAGACAAGAATCTGGTTAGGGTCTTATTCTACGCCAGAAGCTGCCGCAACAGCCTATGATGCTGCACTGCTATGCCTCAAAGGTACATCGGCAAATCTCAACTTCCCCATCACTTCTTCACATTACATCCCCGATGGTGTTTTGTCTCCCAAGTCAATACAAAGAGTGGCCGCTGCAGCTGCAAATAGTTTCGTCGACAGTGCCACCGCCACCACCCCAGCAATATCGCCGCCACCTTCCTCCTCTTCGTCAGCCTCTTCCTCACCATCTGATCAAGTCGTTGATTATGTTGATGATGATGATTACATGTCACTAATACAAACTCTTGTAGCAAACGATGAGCCTATTTCTCTGATTGAACCATGGTACACCTCCTTTGATCAGATGTTGAATGTGTCCTCATTTGTTCCGCCCTCAACGATAAATGATTTCTACGATGAAGGTGATGATATTCCGCTGTGGAGTTTTTGCTAAGGTCAAGCATTAAACCATTCTTTTATTCTTTTCAATTATTTGATATTTGTGATCTTCAAGTTGTTGCTTGAAGATGCTGCTGACAGTAACCAAAAAATAAATATTTTAATGTAATTTCAGACGAAATTTCATTTTTTTTTAACTCTCGAAGTGGGGAGTGTCTACATATTCAGTTTATGTATCAATTATGCAAATTTTCATATTCAAATATAATTATGAAATAAAAACATCATTAAAAATATTAAATTAAAATAGAGAGTGATACAAAAGGTTATAATATTTTTTTACATTTTTTAATGATAGTTGAAATATTAAAAGAATATTATGTTTACTCGATAGAAATATTAATATATTATTTACTTATGCTATAGTATTATATTAAAATTATTTATTAATTTATTATATTATAAATTTTGCATATGATAATTAATTAAGATAATTATTAAAACACCAAAAGGGAACATATAATGAATTCATTACAATTTACTGGTTTGATTGTAAATAGAAATAAAAATCATAAGTAAAAGTGAAAAAAGTGCTACGTTCAGAAATAAAATTTATTAATTAAAAATAATATATACTAAAAAACAATAACAGCCCACAAAACATATACTCTGCTTAAAGCTTGAAAGCATATAAGGAAGTGGGTATAAGCTCAAGAATTGATTCAAATTTTAGATAAATTGATATTGATACTGAATAAAAAAATAATAATAATAAAAAGAAACTTAAATTTAATTTGTTCAAATTCGGTCTGAACTGAACATTAATATAATAATTGAATCAAAATGAATAAATAATATATTTTTATTATCATCTATTTTTCTTTTTTGATATTATACTAATAATTAATCATAAATTTAAATAATAATTTAATATTCCAATACTTCCATATTTGATATGAAAATTTTCAAAATTATATTTGATATGACAAATTTTAAATTTTAAGATTACTCTTAAGTCTGAACTCATCAAGCAATTTTAGTGGTAAAAAAAGATATTGTTTTTCTAAAGGTCTTAGATTTGAGCAATTATATTTGTGGGATGTGTGTGTTGTCAATAAAATAATTAAAAAAATTATGAACAAATACTATAGTGTAATCATCCGACACTATTTAAAAAAGAAAAAGAAGATTACTCTACTAATTGTAAAAATTAGGGTAAACTACATGTTTAGTATCTAAACTTTTTTTTAATTTTTAAAATCATATATAATATTTAGTTTAAGTTTCATTTTTAACTCGCTATTAAAAACCTAACAGTGATGTTGACGTATCATCATAAGATACTGTCACATAATTATTAAAAACTTAAAAAAATTCACCTCAACAATTTTATTATTTTTTTAATGACGATGTGCTAAATTAAAATCTAAACTAAATATTAAGTATAACTTTAAAAAAATTATATATTAAAACAGAATAAAAATAATAATTTACATACTAAACTTGCAATTTATCTCAAAAACTATAACACAAACACAATGCCGGTCGTTCGATTATTTTTTTCTTTTCTTTTTTATTTATTTAAATGGACCCAAAGAGTCTAAGCCCGATCCAAGACAGTGTTGTACAATTTCTTGTAGTAACGAATAAACCTATTTCAAAGCTCATTGCAGATTTGCAGTTGCCTTTACTTCTATCCTTCATTTCAGCTTTGACTCGGAAACTGACCAATACAATGGGTTATTCCAAGGACCAGCTGCTTGCTCGTTTAAAGGATTTTTTTTCTTTAAATTTATTTTATGGGATATTTTTTAGCTTTCGTTTTTCTCTATTTTGTTATATTACGCAACGGTTCTTTATTTACACTTCAATTTTTATTTCGGTGTTCATTATTTTGCTTTTATATTGGGTTTTTTTTCTTCTTTCACGGTAAGAATTGAGTAAGTAGAGGTTGGAATCCAAGTTAGGGTGTTAATATATGGTGTTGGCTCGGCATATTTCTATGTTCGTATCGGACAGTGGTTGAAGTTAATGAATTTGTGTCAATTATACAACCTACCGAAAGAAAATGAGATCGATAGCACCATAGTAATAGCCTTACTTTAGTTACGGTAGCTATGCTTTTGTACCGTCTTCTTTAGTGATTGAAACGTGCATTGGGATCTTTCAGGAGTTTCAAATAGAATTTTCGCAGTATGAACATCCCGTTGTTCTGACAGTTGAAGCTAAGGTAAAAGAAGACCGCTAACTTGGCTCATAAATCCCTTTTGCACATTCATGGATTATAAAACTAAAATATTTCTTCACAACCAGGCAAAATATGTTGGGAACATGGGAGGTGCTCTGAGAAAAAATTTGTTCTTGAAGGTATAATATAAAATTCTGTACCGTTATTTGTACGTCTGTGCTGAATGAATCTTGGAATTGTTTCTAGTTTTCCATGTGACTGCAAATGGTTATCCACGCAGGACAAGAAACATAGGTACTATGTTGTCTCTGCTCTTGCAGATACAAAAGTAGATTTGAAAGGATATTGCTAATATAGTGTTAAAGAGGGGTGTGGTCATTAGGCATATTAACAGAGGTGCCAATCACAAGGCAGATGAGTTTGCCAAGTTGGGTATTGGATAGGATTGACGAGGGGGTAATATGTAGGGTTTGGTTGGTAGTTTGTATTGGGTTTTGTTTTTTGGTGGTTGGAGTATTATTGTAATTGGTCTATGTACTGATGCTGTATCTGTTTTTTTAGCAATAAAATTATTGGCACTCTTTTCCTCCCTCCAATGTCCGCTGGTCTATCTTTGTAGATCGGCAGTTATGATGGGGGGTTTTTAACGAGGCCATCTTTCTATCAAAAAATGTAGATTTGAAAGGTGCATGCTTTCTCCTCGCATATTGTTGTTGATATGGAAATTTTGGAGCTAATTTCCGATGTTAATGAGAGCTTTTTGTTGCCTTCAAAGCTGTGCAGTTTTGTCTCAGAGACTTGGTTTAGGGAAAGGTGGTTTAAGAATGGCTCCAAAAGAGGCATTGGTCGAGATACTTCAGGTGTGTGTACATATTAGTTTAAATTTGTTTGTAGCAAAATTTTTTAGATATTTGAGGAAGTTTATGGATTTAGTATAGAAGTCTTTTCCGGCTTGTTTAGTGTTCTTCTCAATCTTCTCTAATTATATGAGCAGATTGCTTCTAAATTTGAAATAGTCTATTTCATTCCTAAAATGTCGTGTCATGTTTCAAAAGTATGGCTTCATTCAATTTAAAAGTATACAGAGTAAAAGGACAAGCTACTATCCAAATGATTAAAAAGGTTTTTCGCTAATGATCATCAAATATATGATAGCAAGATTGTATTGACCATTACATATATGATAACAAGATTGTAACTCACTCTTTTATACTGTTGCTTCTGTTTTGTTCTTTTAAGGTTCCACTTGGATGTGTTACTCCATTTGCAGTTGTAAATGAGTCCTCAAGGTATGCATTTAAGTTTCATTTCCTTCATGCTTTAAAATATACATGCATTTTAGTGCAGAATGATACATGGGCTATTCTTTTCCTATGATCTGGTAATTTCGTTGGTTGCACACAAGAGGAAATGCCCTTGAAGCTTTAAGTTCTTGTGTTTGTCAGTACACGATGGTGTTCTATTTGTAGAATCCCTAATTATCCATTTATTTACATGTGATCTTGTGTTATAATATTTCATCCACAAAGAACCTGAAGGATACACATGATTAGATGCTTTTGTGAAAATTCATGAAAATATTTTATCTTATTTCTCATGTTCTCAAGAACCTCACCTCATTGATTCTACCTTTGTGTTTTTTGAAAATGTCAAGGTAGCTTCTGAATGAGTTGACTGGATTAGTTTTCTTTCCTTCATTATTGATGTATTAACATCTTTCAGTAAATTGAAAAAGTCTCGTTTCTAACTTCTTTTCCTTCTTTTTTTGCATTCATGTGTGCATGAACCGGTTGAGCCTATGTGAAAAAAATAAAATAACTTGCGTTTACTGCATACATTTCTGCATTTGGAGATGTATCTAGTGCTAATGACCATTTGACTAAAATTCTAGTATGATTTCTTTACATCTTACATGCAAGTGCTATCCCACCCACCTTCTTTCTCTTAACTCTCTGTTATACTGTATGTTCAATATATAGAGATTTACTTCCTTTTTTGATTGGTTTTCTTCAGAGTTGGTCTTGCTTTAATTTTTAGTTTTCTTGTATTTTTGAAGACATGTCTCACTATTGTTGGATCAAGGATTCAAAACTCAAGAGTGTTGCTTTTTTCACCCACTTGCCAATGACATGTCAATCTGTAAGTCTGGAAAAAGAATAAACATGTTCTCATCCTCTTTTGAATTCACTCTTAACGCTTTATTTTGTTACATACTATATAATTGGTGGTTGTAGGAGATTATTTATGGGGTTGGTTGTTTTTTGAAATGAAGATGAGCGATTTAGATTTTTTTTAACCTTATTAGCTTTATATATCTGGAACATAAGCGTGCATGACATTGTTATTCTTTATGGTCATGCAAACTTTAGAAAATGCGTAAAAACTCAAGCCAGTCAATTTAAAACTGGCTGCTTCCTTTTCTGTCCGTACTTAGCAAGTTGGCACTTATTGGTTACAAGTGTGAATGCCATATGTTTGCATGGTGTATACAATTTAGTCTTTGAGATCTACAAAATCCTGTGATAGAAAAAGTGGACCGACTTCCTAGGATGCAGTTTCATGTGATTGGAAATCAATGAGGAACTTAGTACCACTCTATAGCCCTTTGTTTCTGAACTTCTGTATTTTGGTGCATGATCGGTGTAATTCCTAATTGATTTATTCCCAGCTCTGAACATCCAAGGTCTGGACAAATTTCTTAAATCGATTGGAGAAACCCATCATACATTGATCTGGAGGTGATTTGAATTTTCTTTATCTGCTCCATTTCACCGGCAATGAATTTTCAGATTAGCTGATCTAGTATTAGTTTATTTCTGGTAGGCTAACCCTCCTGTTGGGAAAGATGAACCACCCGATCTAGCTCCTTATGTTCCATCAGA